CTGGGGGAGGCTGATGGAGGCTGGGAGAGGCTGGGGAAGCACTGGGGGAGGCTGGGAGAGGCTGGGCGAGCACTGGGGGAGGCTGATGGAGGCTGGGAGAGGCTGGAGGAGCAGTGAGGGAGGCTGATGGAGGCTGGGGAGCACTGGGAGAAGCTGAGATAGCTGCTTCTGGTCTGCCTGCTTTGCTCTCAGGCTGGTCTGACCCTCCGTGTTCTGCCTGGTTAGGGTGGTGTTAGTCTCATGAGTCAGTGTCAGGGAATTTGAGTGAAGGAAAGTGGGTCGGATGCGGGAATATGGCAGTGCATTGACTTCACCCAGTTCTGAAGCTGTTTTTCAAGTTGTGATTCCTTGACAGGTGAACTCTGGTCTCCTGGTAGAGGAAACAGAGTCCTACCTGACTGGGCAGAGGAGATGGTGGTCAGGGATCTCTGCCTCTTACAGATTTTCAGTAAGCTTCCTGCCTGCAGCCAATCCAGCTGCGGGACCCGGGCTCACTCTGTTCCCTGGGTGCTTTTTGGCTTTCTTCGCCCCACCCAGTCCCCTCCACTTCATGCTCCTCGCTCCACCTCCCAAGGCTCCAAGCTCAGTGTGGGCTCCCAGTTTGTCATTTCCTCCCTTTTTGTCCTTTGGGTTCCTGCATGTTTTCCTCCTTTGCAGTGGACTAGCGGGGTTTAGGGAGGCGTGGAGGTCCAGGCAGGCAGCATCTTGGCATGACGCGGGCCGCAGAGCGTTCACACAGGATCTCTTCATTCTTCCTGCAGCTGTCATGGAAGGGGTCTTCGTTTATTTATTTTTGGTTGATGTTCTTTCTTTCCCCAAGTGCATTTAAGGATAAAAAGAAAACAAAGAGCTTCACCATCATGACAATTTTAATTTTGTTTCTATTTCTTTACATAGTTGGAGTCACAGATACTGTTGCTTTTTTCCCCCCACATATTTTATAATTATTTTCTTTGTTTTATATAGATGCTACATTTACATTCAATTTAAAAAATAATTACATATTGTTTTATGGAATCATGATATCATGATTTAAACCCTTTTCTATAGGGATATTAATGAGTTTTCATTATTTTAAGTAATTGTACAATGCACAACTTTGGGCAGGAAAAGCCATTTTTCAATACTTGGGAATATGTTCTTTGAACTCCTAGAAGCACAATTACTATGTAAAAAATTAAGACCATTTTTAAGATTCAGAATATAAATTTCCAGTTGCTTACCAAAATGAAAAACTACTTTTTAAAATGCCTCTTTGCCTCCTCAACAGTTGGTGATCATCTTATTTTCCATTATCTGTGCTAATTATGTAAATGTAGTTTTCTAGGAAACCATAAGTGAATGTAAATTTCCAAAGGTTGAATATCTGATAACGATCCCTACTTCCAGTTCAGAGCTTCTGCCATCATCAATGCTGCTTCCTCATCTTCTCCTTCCTGATCTCTGACCCACAGATCATCTACCTTCATTTAATTAGTCTACCTTTCAATTCCAGGCACAGTGTGTGTGTTCTAATTTCTTGCATTTTCTTACTGCTCCTGGGGTTTATTCTGCCTTACTTCCTCTGACCCAATTTTCATTTGTCTTGAAAAACCAACCGAGGTGCTCCCGCCTCCTTGACTCCCACCTGAAGGAGTTCTGCTGAATGTTAATGTCCCTTTTGCTGATTTTCTACACTCATGTAGCATTTGCCATGTGCCTTGTTATTTTCCCTCCTTTTCTTAAACGAAGCTGCCGAGGGGCAGATATCAAATCTTTTTAGACAATTCTGTGTCTTTTACAGTATTCTGCAAGGAGCTTTTCAGATAATTCTAGCACAGTAGGAGCTTGTTTAATGAATGGCTACAGCATGGGAATAAAGTGTAAGAATGTGTGGCTGGCCAACTTGACCAGAGACACACGTGAGAACAGGATTGCAGGTGGGGACAGGAGGGCTTGCCACTGTGACACCTTCCGTGATTGCATAGCACACACTGCTTTTTCTAGATCTGAGGATGTTTTGTTTTCTGTAGGAGCATCTGCTTCTCCGCTGAAGATACTCTGCACCCCAGAAGGAATACGACTTCAGTGCTCCATGAAATATTTTATGGAAGAAATGAAAGTGAACTGGTGTCACAAGTAAGTACGATAGCAAGCAGTGGAGGCTGTGCCGTAGAGGGGCCAGGCAGGGCGCACAGAGGGCAGGGCACACGGCTGGGGCCAGGAGCTCTGTGGGGAACATCAGGGCACTGCTATTTCCTCAACATTTGATGATTTTGAGCAGCTGTGACAACCTTTAGTTCAGGGAAGGGAGCCCTCACAGCAGTGGAGAGGATGTGGAAGAAGGAGACAGAGAAGAAATGCCTGACGGTGTTAGAGACAAATTTCTCCTGTGTCTCTGTTTACCAAAGGTGGCTCAATTGGGAACGCACATTTTCTCTGGAAGTGAGCAGAGAGCTAAGGCAGAAATAATAAATAATGTGTAGAAACCAGACTCCATATTTCCAGTCTGTTGGTTTCCCACTAGACTTGATTAAAAGGACCAAAACAAGCCCAATCATTAAAATTAAAAAAGAAAGAATATAAGACCACATCTGAATACACATTGTAATAACCCTGAATACAGCAGGGTTTTCTGTATTTCGTGCTTCTCTAGGTCAGGAAGGGTCACTGAGAAAACTCCCAGAGACTTTTCATGCAATCTACAGCACTGGGCAGGTCCCTGCTGCCCTGCCCCCGGGTCTGGCTCCTTCCTATCCAGAGCACAGGCTGACATCTGAAACAACCAGGCAAACTGCTCGCTGAATTGAGGAGTCCCTGAAACAGGACTCGTGTCAGGGTCACCAACCCCTTAGACATAACCGCAGTTGAAAGTGGACTTCAGACCGAGCAGACAGTGGCTTTTTATCGATCTCTACACTATCCTAATGACAACATGTTCAAGCCAATTATTTCATGGTGGCAAGGTACCCAAATGTAAATCCTCCTCAGTGCACTATACCCAGGGCGTCCACACGGTGCCTTTGGATATCATAGTTAGCTAATGAATATTTCTAAAGGCAAGTCCATGGTTATGACTGTTTCGCTTTTAATATCACTGGTTTGCTTCAGTGACTGTATTTGTAAGTAAACTGAAGTGCTGAAAGCATATATGTTCTTAGTTTTTTTTCTATTTCAATTTTTGACATACTATGCTTTTGTCTTATAATAGTCAGTACATCTTGGAATCGTTCACGTCTTTAATTTGACTAGCCTGGTGTTCAAACTAAATGGAGTCACATAGATCCCACGTTAAGGGTTTGGTTAGGGAAGTGTATTTTTTTATAGGATTGTGATTACAGGATCTTACAGGACTGGAACTCTGGTGTGTCTTTGCAATATATTTGTTTATCAGGATTTATTTTCTAGGACAATGAGTAAATCTATGTTTCTAGCTGAACGAAACCTTCCCCTAGAAGAGGAGATTTGAGCTTGCTTGTTCTTTACGGTGTATTGTCCTGCTGTAAGTTGTACACAATTGTAATGTGTGTCCTGCTGACCGTTGTAAACATGTTCATCTTCTGGAAGAGGCCACCTCCTCTTTAGACTTGTGTGGATCATAGTAAAGGCTGTGTGCTATGCTGGCTCTGGAGGTACAGAGATTAAATACACACCCACACACAGGATTAAACACACGCCCTGTGCGTGTGTGTGTAGATACAGGTTGTGTCAGCATCAGCAAGCAGGTACTTTGTGTTACACATTCAACATGCTATTCCATTTAATCCTCACAAATGCCCTGTGAGTTAGATATTTATACCCACATTTTATAGATATGGAAACTGGGGTTCAGGGAGAGAAACATGTCAGTTTGTCAGTCACACTACTAGTAAGTGAAAGAGGGAGGATTTGAATGCTGGTTGGTGTGGTTCTAATCAGTGCTCTCCTGAGGAGCTCCAAGCCCAGTGGAGGGGTTGGGTCCTAGACAGGCAGGCAGGTTGGGGCACAGCTCATGCATCTGACTCATCCTGACCGTGGATCAGAAGAAGCATCCCTGGATACAAAAAGAGGCAGAAGTGTTACTGTATAGTCCTACAGACTCGTAAAAGTAACATTATTTCTGCGTTTATTCTTCCCCTAACAAATTCATTATGCCATAGAAGAGGCATTTCTTTAGTACCTTTATAACTGAACTATACCTTTAAGACCTCAACTGGGCATATACACTAAATGTCAGTGACTTGTAGTCATATCTTACTATTTGACTATTAAACAACATGAAACTGTTATGTAACCATCATATGTGATTGTAATTCAATGTTTTGTGACCAAATGCATTCTTATCAGATGGCAACTGGAAGAAAAGAATAATAGGAAAATTTGTTGAAATATACTTTAGCCATTTGAGGCTAAATAATCCACTTCACAAAACCTATGATGCCGGGGAATGGAGCTATCGAAGACTAGTGCTGTGGGTCCTGGAATATTTTGTGTTAATGGGTGACATTGAATCAATAGAGTGCAATGAGAATTTTGTGAAATGTAGACGTAAGCAAAGGCAATTGTTCTTTAGTTGAAAATGCTGAGTAATCCATCAGAGGCTGTAGAAGATGTCACTTTAAGGGAAAGTTGGAAACTTACTCAACATGAGTTAGAAGCAGGCAAAGAGAAAATCAGCAAAAATGGTCTTGAGAAAAAAGATTTTGTTCTCTTACTCAGAGGTAAGATTAATATATCATCTAGACATGACTAGATCTCAAATTCTTAAAGTATTGATCACTGAAGTCTTGAAAGTATCTCTGAAACTAAAGAAATTTCACTCTCTCTCTCTCTCCCTCCCTCCCTCCCTCCCTCTCTCTCTCTCTCTTTTTTTTTTTTTGGACAGAGTCTTGCTCTGTCACCCAGGCTGGACTGCAGTGGAGCCATTCTAGCTCACTGTAGCCTTGACCTCTTGGGATCAAGCGATGCTCTTGCTTCAGCCTCCTGCGTCTCTGGGACCACAAGTGTGCACCACCATTCCTGGCTAGTTTATATATATATATATATATATATATATATATATATATATTTTTTTTTTTTTTTTTTTTTTTTTTTTTTTTTTTTTGTAGAAACAGGGTCTTCCTATATTGTCCAGGCTCTCTGCGTCCAGTTCTCTGCGTGTGTTCTGATGTTCACTATTTGGATAGTGGTAGCAAAAGGCTGCTGGACATGGGAAGATCCCTCAGGCTGTCCCATCTTGTAGGGCTCTTCCTGCAGGAGGTCTGTGTTTCTCAGTACTGTCTTCTCCAGCCTAGAAGCAAATACTTCCTAGCTTTTGGGAATCTTTCCCTTTTAACTACATTTCCCTTCAAAAGGGGAGTGAGGCCTAGGTGGAGTTCACTTGAATGTCGCACGACATTGAGAAGAGCAAGTCTTACTTTCAGCTGAGACACCGCAGCGCTATTTAAACCTCAGAGCTATTGTCTGTAATGGCCTTCAGGGACTCGCCAGAACCACCGCCTCTGAGGCTCTGACTTTGTTCTTGTGCTTCTGTCAACCTGCCTCTGCCAGTCATTATTATTAGTACTATTATTTTGAGACAGAGTATTGCTCTGTCTACCAGGCTAGAGGGCAGTGGCGTGATCTCGGCTCACTGCAACCTTTGCCTCCCGGGTTCAAGTGATTCTCCCACCTCAGCCTTCCAGGTAGCTGGGATTACAGGTACCTGCCATCATGCCCAGCTAATTTTTGTATTTTTAGTAGAGATGGGGTTTCACCATATTGGCCAGGCTAGTCTCGAACTCCTGACGTCAGGTGATCCACCCACCTCAGCCTCCTAAAGTGCTGGGATTACAGGTGTGAGCCACCGTGCCCAGCCTGTCAGTCATTACTAATTGCAGACTTAGTTTTTAGATTTTTGCACTTGTGTTATTTCCAACCATTTATTTTAATGTAAATAATATTCATTTACAAATATATAATATTTCTAAATCATTCACTTTGAAATAATTTTAGACTCATAGAAAAGTTGAGAAGAAAGTACAGAGTTCCCTTCCATCCTCTAACCCTCTTCCCCTGAGGTTAATGTCTTGTGTAGCCACCTTATAACCATCAAAACCAGGAGCTGATCGATGGTATAATGCTGTTAACCAGCTACAGACCAATTCAGATTGCACCTGTTTTTCCAGGAGCGCCCTTTCCATGTTCCAGTGTTGAATCTCAGGTCCCACGCTGTGATCAACGTCCTGGCCCCTGGTTTTCCCAGTCTTAGATACTTCCTCAGGCGCTCCTTGTCTCTACCTGGGTGCCTTGAAGTGTTCTGTCCATCACTTAAAAGCACACCCTTCCGTTTGGCTTTATCCGATGTTTCCCATGTTGGATGGTGACACAGTTTTAACTGGAACACAATAAAAGCCATGCTGATATCTGATCGCTGGGCTAAGGCAATGTCTGCCCTGCCTCTTTCTGGGAAAGTTACTATTTTTCCCTTGGTAATTAGTAAATACTTTAGGATTTGGCAAGTCTCTTGTCCCTCCCCAGACCTGTGCGCTGGACTGTGAGATTCCGCAGTGAATCTGGCCTGCAGTACTGGTTTCTGAGGCTCTGGGTAGAGGGTGGTTTTCTAGCTCCCTCTTCCCCCTCCGTTTGCTCTGCTAGGAGGTGTGGCCTCGCCTCTGTGCAGTTCCTCATTCAGCTGCTTGGCTGCGTCGGTTTGGACTCGGGAATGCTGATTTTATTCTGTGAGCTGTTACTTTGCTCAAATTGTCCCAGCTCTGGCCCTTGGGAGCTCTTTCCAGTTGTCAGCTGCCTGCTCCAGCATGCATGCCTGCGTCTTCTTAGGAGAAATTCCTTATTTTGGGGATCTGTAAAACATTCCTGACTCATCATGTATTTCCTGCCCCAGTTCTGGAATCCCAGAAGCCCTGGCTTCTGAACCAAGGGTGGTATCAGGGACGATCTACCAGTGTCACAGGGATCTGCAGCTCCTGCACACTCTGAAGGCAGGGCTGGGTGACATGTGGGTGCAGGCTGAGGCACTCGGTGTCACAGGGAGCCGCGGCTCTTGCACACTCTGAAGGCAGGACTGGGTGACGTGTGGGTGCAGGCTGAGGCACTCGGTGTCGCAGGGAGCCGCGGCTCTTGCACACTCTGAAGGCAGGGCTGGGTGACGTGGGTGCAGG